AAAAAAAAAAAAAAAAAAAAAAGACAAAAGTCAACCACTGTTGAGGCGTGGGCTTAATAAACGTTGACTAAAATGTCCAACTCAACAACCAATCCTGTATAACTTTCAAACCGTGCCAGTAACTTATTTGCAAATAATAAGGAACAACTTATTCCTCATCACATTGAGGAGCCGTGTGACCCATCGTGCTGGATTAGAGATGAACACCAAGTGCCCTCCTAACACCAATGTCACCCTGAACGTCAACAGGAAACACTGACCGTGGGGAAGCTGTTTAAACCTCTTGAAGCATTTTGCCAATGACCAGACTTCAATAATCTTCCTTTATTTACAAAAAATGTTAAACCAGTGGCAACAACAGCACATTACTTAATAAAGCAACTAAGTTAGAAGTGCAAGACACTGATTTATACGCTGTTGATAGATCTGAAGAGACAGGACCATTTACTAGGCTGAAAAGGTGGCGGCCATCTGGTATCTTCCTAAAAAAGTTTATCAGGGTCCTGGCCAGGCGCGGTGGCTCACGCCTGTAATCCCAGCACTTTGGGCCAGCCAAGGTCGGCGGATCACGAGGTCAGGAGTTTTGAGACCAGCCTGACGAATATGGTGAAACCCCCTCTCTACTTAAAATATAAAAATGACCCCGGCGTGGTGGTGCACACCTGTAGTTCCAGCTACTCGGGAGGCTGAGGCAGAAGAATCACTTGAACTCGGGAGGCGGAAGTTGCAGTGAGCCGAGATTGTGGCACTGCACTTCAGCCTGGGCGACAGAGCGAGATTCCATCTCAAAAAAACATTTTTTAAAAAGTTTATCAGGGTCCTAATCCCTTCCCAGAAGGCAAACTAAGGCCTGGAGCAAGGCAAGGTCAACCAAAGCCACCCAACTGTCAGTGACAGAGGATTCAGTTCAAAGTCCTGTCCTTTCAGGCCTGTGCCTACAAACCAACACTTAATCTGAGTATTTCAACCTGGCCAAAGGCAACACAAAACACCCAACCCTGTATTTTAGGGAAAGAAAAAAAACGGGGCAACTGAGAAGACAGACAGAGGCAAGTCCAATGTGGCCTCCCAGATAAACCTCAATGCGCTTATTTCTTTTGGCACAGACACTTCTCTCTTAACTTTGAAGGAAAGTCACATCACATCACACTCTGTCTGTCCATATGAATTAAACCCTGTTAGGTGAGCCAAACTTAAACACATTAAATTCTACAAATAGGCCAGGCACGGTGGCTCACACCTGTAATCCCAGCACTTTGGGAGGCCAAAGCGGGTGGATCACCTGAGGTCGGGAGTTCGAGACCAGCCTGACCACATGGAGAAACCCTGTCTCTATTAAAAATACAAAATTAGCTTGGCGTACTGGGCCATGCCTATAATCCCAGCTACTAGGGAGGCTGAGGGAGGAGAATAGCTTGAACCCAGGAGGCGGAGGTTGCAGTGAGCCCAGATCGCCCCCATTGCACTCCAGCCTGGGCAACAAGAGCGAAACTCCATCTCAAAAAAATAAACAAATAAATAAATTCTACAAATAGCCACTAGAATTATTAGGATAGAAAACGATGACGGGTACTAACAGATTCACTCAGGAGTGGGCAACTAATTCACATTATGTGTAGCTCTGGCTTGGAGAAGACACAGGGCTTGGAGAAGGCAAGACTGTTCACCATGAATTAAAATTGATTTATGAGCTTGCTGTAGCACTTGGAATAGAAAAAAGAATCTTTTCAGCGCCTTTGACCCCTCTCTCAAATTACAACAGGGTGCGACTGAGGAACAACAGTGCCAACCACCCATTTTTCTCCACCCTTGGGGAAATTAATTTTTTTTTTTTTTTTTTTGGATGGGAGGGAGAGTCAGTAGATGAGGCTGCATTTTCCACGAGCGAACACGAACCGCTGCGGGAAGATCCCGGCTTCTCGCTAAAGCTGGGGCGGCATGAGCCACTGGCCAGCTCGCCATCCAGTCCCCAGAGCCCGGGCTTTAGGTAAAGCGTGGAGATGCCAATCAGTTTTGCCGCCAAAGACCCGGCCAGGCGCGTGTCTTCCCGGGCCTCGCAAGGAACAGGTCAGGGAGACGACTTCCAACTTTCTCTGCCCGGCCCTACACGCTCGCCGCCGCTGCCCAGCCGCCCACTCCTGGACAGCCTGCAAGTCTCCATTCAGAAGCGGCTCTGTGCTGCCCAGCACTGGCGCCCCGGGGGGTGCGGAGCCCCGCAGCCAAATGACACGACTTGCGGGCAAAGAAGGACAAAAGTTCCCACTAGGTGGGCACTGCGGGAAGGAGGCCGACGACCCCGAGATTCTCTGGGTTCCACGGCACGTGTGCGGCTACGCTGGCTGCTTCCCCCGCCGCCTGGGAAGGTCACGCCGCCCGGACACCGAGGCCCGC